TCGGACAGCGGGCGACGGCACCAACTCCGCAGTCGCCACCGCAGCCCCGAGAAGACTATATACGTAGCATGGCGGATCAACATGAACCCACTACGACTTACTAGCCTATGGGACCAAGCCCGAAAGCACGGAGGGCACACGGCCCTACAGTGACGCATGTTACAATACTGCGTGCAACACGTACCAAGGTCTACTACTCTGCAGTGGGCGGGATTAGCAGGATGGTGACCATACTACTACGCCCCCCCGAACTATCAAGCTTATCGCGACATCCACCACACCTCCCTCTCCTCCCTACCCCTGTCAACGGCATGATGCAGGTACACGCCCACCGAGTTACTTCTAACCACGCCTGGCTTACGAAGGTATACGCCTGCAACGACATGCTGAAGACTTCCACTACGGTACTCTCCCAGCCTCGCTGAGGGCCTCCACACATCATCACGAGAAAGACCAGACTGAGAGTAAGGTAAAACCTATGAGTGGACTGTCGGTCGAAGATGCGGTCACCACACACCACTACTATGGTACGCTTCCGTAGTTATTTTCTCTGCGAGCAGCTTTTGCAAGTGCGACTCTTCTCCCACGGGGAGAAGCTATAGAGCGGAGCTTCTAATGAGGAGCAAGCGAGGTACGAGGATGTGTGACAACAGTGGTGCACCGAGGCCCGATGGTGACAGCATGAAGGATGACGCACAAGCAACGAGAGGCGGAAACCAGCTACACTGTCGAGGAGAAGGCCACAACCAGACCTTCGGCACCATTGCCTAACGCCTGCAGGTGGCCCAGTGGCCCACCACACCATGCAGTTCACGACGGAAATCTACGGCACAAATACGGCAAATTGTCCAACAACATGCTCCACGGGCTGTGCCGTCAACGCGATCGCCAACTGACCAGCCGGCCAGGCTGACCGACACCAAGAACGAGCTTCAACCACTAGGAGGAGATGGAGCGGGTGCAGGTCATGACGATCTTGCAGGTCCAGATCGGCACAACTACCAAGGCGATCGACTCAGCCAAGCACCTGATCGGTTACCTGGGAGACCCAAGCAGGACCACGATGAGCCCGTTCCCTGGTCGAAGCGCCAGGCGGACGAGGTGGACGGAGTCCACACGAAATGGAACAGCAACGTGAGCGGGTGGGGCTACGACATTGCCCGTCAAGATGACCACCGCAATGCGCCAACGATCAACCAGCCCATCGCCCAGCGGCCTCAGACGCCACGCCCCGTATCCCACAGCCCGTCCCCTGCGGTGCTCGAGCGGAGGGAGGACGGCAAAGCCTCAGCCTCGTCAAGGGACGCAGCGGAGCCTCCGAGACCACCGCAGCCGCAGCAGCAGCAGCAGCAGCAGCAGCAGCAGCAGCAGCAGCAGATAGGCGACCTCCGCATGAGAAACCCCCAGTTCGCGGCAGCGGCAGGTTTCGGGATCGGGCTCGGGCAGATGTCGTAGATCGCAGCTTGAGCAGCAGGTGACGACCATAGCAGGCATTACGATCGTAGTAGGCAGCAGTTGTTGCTCATGTTCCCTCGAATGAGGGGCCACATCGACCACCATTTATGCCCAGCCAATGCGGTGCACCTTTTCTTGGACCAGCCGACGAGGCCCTCTCGAGCCTCATGTCTGCAACGAGCTGCAACTCTTTCTTCTCCAACCGGTGAGGGGGGGTGCAGTGGTGGGGGGAGAGGGTGGCTGTGGAACGATCGTCGTGTCGTGATGCGTACACAGACGGTGACCACCTCCGCCCGCGAGGCAAATATTTCTTCTCAGCGCCGAAGCGGGGCCTCTCGCCAAGAGGGGCAGCCCCGCCCGCAGAGAAGGCCCGAGGAGCAGCGCGCTTTAGGCAGCCTCGCGAGCCACAAGGTCCAGGGTTTGCATCCATTACCCCTGAGGGTCTGGAAGTTTGATCCCCCCTGTCTCTGTCGGCGAAGAATAAAACTCGTCCCTCCTCTTCCCCCTGCTCCTCCTCTTCCTCTTCTTCCTCCTCCCCCTCTCCTTCTGCTCCTTTTCCTCTTTGTTGTTGTTGCGCGGCGGGTGCCGCGGAGAAATAAGTATTTCCCATCATTGGCGGGACCCCAGTCCGTCAACAAGGGCGTCGAACAGACAATTTCAGACCCTTAGGGGTTATCCTACCCAGGGATCGGTTCATTCGAGCAGAGTTGACCATCAGCTCCTCCTCCTCCTCCTCCTCCTCCTTCTCCTCCTCCTCTGTTTCTCCTCCTCCTCCTCCTCCTCCTCGCCGAGGTGCCAAGTGTCGAAGCCGGGAGCTACACCGCGACCGCCGAACGGTCCGTCAGGAGGGCACCCGGGCACGGCTCCTCTCTCCCGCGGCAGCGATCGCGCGGAGACCCCCGCCAGGTGTGGCGGCAGCGCGGCGCAGTTCCCCGACCGCGTCGCGCGGGCCGTCCTCGCGCAGCGGCGGCGCCCGTAGCGCGCGCCCGGTCGACATGCCGCAACGCCGCCGCTCGGCTCGGACGCCCTGGGCGGTCCGCTGCGGCCTCGCGCAGGCGGCCTGCGCCCTTCTGCGCGCACGTCGCTCCGACGAGGATGGGGCGCGCCTGCTGCGGCGTGCCGCGGGCCAGGGCGGGCGCTCGCAGCCTGGGCGTGACGGGGCGGCGGCAGGTTCCGTGGCCCACCTGTTCCGGAACGTTCCACGTCTCGTCCCTCCCGCGCTCCGTCGTCCCGCGCGTCGTGCTGCCTCCAGCACTGCGCGAGCGGTGGCGCGGCCGCCACCTCCCAGCAGCTCCACGCCCTGCCAGGGCCCTGCGGACATCAGCTCGGCAGCGCAAGGGCACATCATCTCCAGGCCTTTGAGGAAGGCCTCTTTCCCGGACACTCGGCTGCCGCACGAGCCTTCAGCAGCAAGAAGGCCGTTGCGGCTGCGCCTGCTGGAATGGCAGCGTTCCAGTGTGGACGGAGGTGAGCCAGGTGGCAGCCTGGGCCCCCTGGCGGTAAACTGGGATGAGCGGCGGGAGCCCCGGTTCCCGCCCACCAGCGTGTCGGGGCTGGGCCTGCCAGCCCTGGAGCGTACGTACTCCAGGAGCAGCGGGGCCCCAGTTACGAATCCGGGCTGGGCATGCAGCCGTCAGGACGAGGATCGTCCATCCATGGACCGCAGACCAAGAACTCCTCTTCCTCACCCTTCCATTCCTGTTCCTTATAAATAACTCCTCCCCGTCGCACCCCGAAACCAGTCAGAAGGGCGGCCCAGGCGTTTAGCCTGAGACTGCCGTAAACAGTGGCAACAGAGTTTCACAGACGGATGGCGGGTGATTTTCAAAAAGTCGCTCTCGCCTTGATGCCGCGCCCAGTCGTCTTAACACATTGCAAGAGCTTTACGGATTGAGGGCGGGGCGTTTTCAGCATGTGGCTCCCGCCATAGTGCCGCGCACATTCGTCTTAACACATTGCAAGAATTTCATGCGTTGAGCGGTTCTTTTTCAGAATGTGGTTCCCGCCGTAGCGCTTGCAATCATTTCTGGCGTTCCCATGCTTAACGTACCAGAGAAGGTGCTTTGGAACGATTCAGGACTGTCTGGGCGAAACAACTATTTGATTCGCGGTATTGAAATCTCAGAGAGAGCGTGATCCACCGCCGCTTTACTGTGGAAAATTGCCGCCCTTTTCCTCTGGAACCCGGGGTCCCCCCCCCCCCCTCCGAAAATCCCTCCCCCCCCCTGCTGGACCCCCCCCTTTCCCCCGGCAAAACCCCCCCCCGTCCCTAACCCCCCCCCCCCTCGAACTCGAAAACCGGGGGGGGTCACTACCGGTTCGAACCCCCTCCCCCCGTCGAACTCGAAAACCGAGGGGGGTCACTACCGGTTCGAACCCCCCCCCCCTCGAAAACCGAGGGGGGGGGGGGCCACCACCGGTTCGAACCACTGAGCTGTCCCACTGTTCCCACCACTGTTCCCACCACTGTCCCCACTGTCCCCACCACTGTCCCCACTATACCTCTGTCCCATTGTCCCACCGCCGTTCTCGCCACCGCCCTCACCACTGTCCCCACCACCACTGTACCCTCCACTGTCCTACTGCTTCCACCACATTCCCAGTCCCCACACCACTGTCCCCACCACCACCGTCCCCACCACTGTCCCACTGTCCCCACTGTTCCCACCATTGTCCTCACCATTGTCCGCACCACTACCGTCCCCACCACTGTCCCACTGTCCCCACCACTGTCCCGCTGTCCCCTCACCACTGTCCCCACCACCACCGTCCCCACCACTGTCCGCACCCCCCCTCGGTTTTCGAGGGAGGGGGGGGGTTCGAACCGGTAGTGACCCGCCGTGGTTTTCGAGTTCGACGGGGGGGGGGGGGGTTCGAACCGGTAGTGACCCCCCCCTTTTCATGATGAACTGGGGGGGGGGGGGGAAGGAAGGGGTTCGAACCGGTAGTGACCCCCCCCCGTTTTCCGTCCGGAGGGGGGGGGGAGGGGTTCGAACCGGTAGTGACCCCCCCTGGTTTTCCGCCAGCAGCGGTAGAACACGCTCTTTCAAATCTCAAGAACGTTGTTCTGACACGTTTCAAGATCGTCGTTACGCCATAATCAGGTTGATTCGTGGCGTTGGGGTCCCGCGAATGGTGTTTTGGCACGCTTTAAGATCTTCAAACGGTTTCCAACGGGACCTTAGTGGAAATGAATGCTTGTAGGGGCCTTTGAAAAACGAGCTTGGAGAGAGGGTGTATTCCAACATCGTTGATGAGTCTCGGCTTTGCACTCGACATCCTCCTCCTTCTCCCCCTCCTCATCTTCCTGTTCCTGTTCCTGCTCCTCCTCCTCCTGCTCTTCCTCCTCCTCCGCCTCCTCCCCCTGCTCGACCTCCGCCTCCCCGTCCCCCTTCCGCCCCCTCCCCCTCCCGCGCCCGTGACCGCTTCATCACGCGCGGGCGGTGTGGCGGCGCCAGGCGTGCCTGCAACAGCGCCGCGGGGGGAGCGGGTGGTGGCGGCGGCGGCGACGAAGACGAAGAGACGACGGCCGGGCTCTCGCGAGCCTTCGTCTTCTGGTGGGACTCCTCTATCCGCATGGTGTCCAACTGGCCCTCTGAACGAAGGAGGTCCGGCGCCGGATCTTCCCACAGGAGGTCGACGGCCGAGGTCTTGTGGGTGCTGCCCGCCCTGTCTGCAGGGGGCCTCTAGTCGCGGCTGCCGGACTCCCCTCGAAGTCATGGCCAGAACGCGCAAAGGGGCGTAAGGGGGGAACCGCAGGGGGGAGCGGGGGAGAGGGCGAAGGATGAGCAGGCTGGACGGAAAGGGGAGAGGGATATCGCAGCTAGTTGAGAGGGGAAGAGCGGGGGGGTGGGGGGGCGAAAGGGAGGCAACACAGAGAGGAGGAGGATGAGGAGGAAACGGAGGAGGATGAAGATGAGGATGATGATGATGATGATGAGGAGGAGGAGGAGAAGACCAACGCAAACCCAAAACGTATCAACGATGTTGGAATACACCCTCCGTGTAAGTTCCCTCGTCATAGGCCCCTACAAAAATTCAATATCACTACCAGACTGCCGCGTTGGGGGACAACCGTGCGAAAATCCTGAAGCGTGCCAAAACACTGGTCTCAGGACTTCAACGCCACGAATTCACCAGTCTGTTACATCTTGGCGACCCTGAGTCGTGCCGAAACATCATTACTGGGACTTCAACACCGCGAATCAACGTAACTGTTGCGCACTGACAATCATGACTCGTTCCAAAACAGAATTTCTGGTATTTCAACCGTAAGAACCACTGCAACTCTTGCAAATGTTGAAAAAATAATGTGCGCGGCGTCAAAGCGATAACCACAGTTTGAAACGAAACCACCCTCAATCCTTGGTTTTCTTGCCAAGTGTTGAAAACGAATGTGAGTGGCGCTAGGACGAAAACCAGATTTTGAAAACGACCCACCCTCAATCCGTGAAGCTCGGCAAGCTTTGTAAACGAATGTGCGCGGCGCAAGGGCGAGAGCCACATTTTGAGGACGACCCGCCCTCAATTCGTGAAACCCTTGCAAATTTTGAAAACGAATATGCGCGGCGTTGAGGCGAGAACCACATTTTGAAAACGGCGGGCCTTCACTCCGTGAAATTCTTGCAAACTTTGGAAAAACGAATATGCGTGGCGCTCAGGCGAGAGCCACATTTCCAAAACGACCCGCCTTCAATCCGTGACGCCCTTGCATACGTTGAAGAACAGATGTGCGCGGCGTTGAGGCGAGAACCACATGTCCCAAACCACCCGCCCTCAATCCATGAAGCTCTTCAGAACATATTAAAACGACTGCGCGAAACGCTAAAGCGAGAACCACATGTGAAACGACCCGCCCTCAAAACGTGAACCGGTGGCTAGTTTTGAAGCTTCTGGAGAACTCAAACGAAACGTCCAGCCCGCCCTTTCGACCAGCCCCGGGGTGCGACAGGGAGGAACCATCTATAAGAACAAATAATGGAGGAGGAGGAGGGGGAGGAGGGGGAGGAGGAGGAGAAGGAGGAGGAGGAGGAGGAGGAGGAGGAGGAGGATGAGGCGGAGGAGGAGGAGAAGGAGACGAAGGACAATAATGTGAAAGTGGATATGGAAAGCGGGATGTTTTTACTCAGCGGAATGAGGAGCAAATCGAGAGCGTGTCTAACAAGCGGGCGCGATGCCTTGCCAAACTACGAACGGCAACGGAGGGCACAAATAACACCCGGTCAAGATGATGTGAAAGAGGCTGGACGAAAACCGTTCGATTCTGGTGCTCAAGCCTGTCCGTCGTGCACTCGCTGGTGCTAAGCAATTGCTGGGGTGCTCTACTGACCGCGCCCGTGACAGATGGGGTGCTCTACTGTCCGCGCCCGTGATAAAAGTATTGCCAGCCTGTTGCGAGCGAGAGAGTATTGGAACATAGGCAGGTGCGTGCGTCTGCTCAGCTGATCAGCTGGAACAGCACTCATTTGTACGCTCAACTTCCTCATTGCTCTCGCCCGTCAATGCCAGCGACCTTGACGATCTTGTGGCTGTTGGAGCGGGCCATCCTCTCTCGCAGGTGCAGAGGCGCCGCGAGGCATTGCAAAGGGGCGCCAGGGTGCCACGCAGAGGTGGCAGCAAAGGAAAACACAGGCAGACGGTGAGGCGGTGACAAGGCAGGCGGGAGGGGCACGCCACGGAGAGGGGGGGGGAACAGGAGGAGGCTGCAAAACCAGAGGCGGGGCAAGGAAAGGGGCAACGAGAGCGCTGCCAGGTCCCGCTCTCTCAGCTCGGCCCGCAGAGCCGCGCCGTGAGACTGCCCAGCCCTCGATGGGCGCTCGTGCCCCACGCTTGTGCCCCTGGCTGCCCGTCTCTGGCCTCCTCCAGGCCGACCGCACGCCCCACCTGAATTCAAAGAGGCCGCCGCGCCCGCCCTTCTTTTTCCTCCCGCCCTTCGGAGAATCCTCTCCAGGGCCGCCAGCCCTGCCGCGCCGCTCGGCGCGGGCACTGCCTCCACAGCGCGGGCAGGGCAGCCCGGGAAACCCGGCCCCGCTGCACAGTGGCCCTCTCCGACGCCGCACCGAGCTCGGTCGAGGTGGCTGGTCGCCTCGCGCGGGCCTGCGGGCCACCCCCCACGCAAGAGGGGAGGCGCTCGCCGTCCACGGCGGCCCCCCGCGAGCGGCTCCCGCACACCCGCCGCTCGAGGCGTCACCTGCGCTGCGGAGGGGGGCCTGCGCTGCGCCGTGGGTGGGGGCTGAGAATCGCCAGGCTGCGCTGCGCGGAGGTGGCGCCTGCGCTGCGCGGAGGGGGGCTGCGCAGCCGCCGCCATCGCCGCCATCGCCGCCATCGCCGTCGCCGTCGCCGTCGCCGTCGCCGTCGCCCGTCGCCGTCGCCGTCGCCGTCGTCGTCGTCGTCGTCGTCGTCGTCGCGTCGTCGTCGTCGTCGTCGTCGTCGTCGTCGCGGTTTTCCCTTCGTCGGGCTCCTTCGAGCTGAGCAGCGCCGCCCGTGAGGCCTCGCCCCTCGCGAGCGCAGCCCGCGCCCGCCCGCCCGCCACGCCCGAGGCCGGCGCGCCCTCGCCGGGGCGCGGGCCGCCGTGCCGAGGGCTCCGCTGCGGCGTCGGGAGAAGGGAGGCGCCGCGGGCTTGAAGGAGAGCGCCGCGGGTGGGGGGGGGAGGAGGAGAGGGGGGGAGGAGGAGGAGGGAGGAGGAGGAGGAGGGAGGAGGAGGAGGAGGAGGAGGAGGAGGAGGAGGAGGAGGAGGAGGAGGAGGAGGAGGAGGAGGAGGAGAGGAGGAGAGGAGGAGGAGGAGGAGGGGAGGAGGAGGAGGAGGAGGAGGAGGAGGAGGAGGAGGAGGAGGAGGAGGAGGAGGAGGAGGAGGAGGAGGAGGAGGAGCCGGCCCGCCGCCGCGGCTTGAGCCGAGCGACGGCGGCCTGAGGGGAGGGGCGAGGAGGAGCGAGCAGGGCGGGGCAGGGGAGGGAGCAGGGGTGCGGCCGGAGGCGCGCGAGGGCTGCTGCCCACATGGGCCCTGGCGTCGGCCTCGCTGGATAGCCCGAGAAGGCGCCGGGGAAGTCGGCCGCCATCCTCTCCACGCCCGCCTGCAGGGCCACGATCTGCTTGCACATGTTCGAGGCGATCAAGGCGTACACGCCCGCGTCCCCGACCAGCTGGGGAGCGCCGCTCCCTCGAGCCCCCTCACCGCACAGCCCCTCGCCCCCCAAGGCTGCGAGGCGGGCGCTGATCCATATCCACCGCCTGGGGAACGGACGTCCCGGGACCCCAGCGGGCGTGGGGCCCAAATGTATGCATGACCGCTGCCTGCCAGGGCCCCCGAAGATCGAGCGCCCAGGCAGTGGCTGTGGAGAAATCCCTGCCTCGGACGGGCAGCACGTTGCGGCCGCTCTCGCATGACTCTCGGTTCGGGGAGATCCAGCCCCCGGGGGAGATCCAGGTGTCAGGAACAATTCGGCAACACTCACGCATGAGATTCGGTTCGGCCCGCCCCCCCCCCCTCCGAGCTCCGGTGCCCGAGCGGCGATGCGTAAACATGCCAATTTTAAGTTGCGGGGTAAGGGGGAAGGGTTGGGGAGACCACCAGGTACTGATACCGCAACTCCCCGGGGTGCGTTCCAACCAGAATTTCGAGGCGAATCCAGCGGTGGCGACGAGGGCCTCCCATGAGGCCCCCAAAGGGGAAAACAGGCGACGGGTAGCGGTATGGGTACCTTCACCTCCTCCGAAGTGCTGCTTGTTTTTGTCCCTCAACCTTGGAAGCTTGGACATTGGCCCTAGCACCAAGGCAGGGGTTTGCCTCTACCAGGAGAAGATGATCCGAGATGCTGGCGTCGGTGGCATTACTCTTTCGGCCACCCAGGAGGCCCGAAGATTACCACCATCGCCGAGATTGGCGTCGTCTCCCCTCGGTGGAGGCACACCGCAGGTACTGGTGTTGGTGTCAACCTCTGGGCCTCCGACAACCCTCGCCTCCCTCTCCCGCCCTCCACTCCACTCCGCTCCAAGGAGGCACCGCGAGGGCCGCGCTCTCCGCAGCAGCTCCGCGGGCCTCCCCGCCACCGAGGAGATCCGATGAGATCCGAGCCCGAGCGGCCGGCGCGGGGGGGAGCGAGAGCGCGAGCGGGAACCCTCGGCCGCGAGCCGGCCTCCGAAGCGGGGGCGGGGGCCCCCGGCGAGGGCCGCGGTCTCCTCAGCAGCTCCGCGGGGCTGCCCGCCACCGAGGGGATCCGAGGTCGAGCGGCCGGCGCGCGGGGGCGGGGGCCAATGGGCAAGATCGGCCAGCATCGGATCGGGAAATGGGATCGGACCGGAACGAGCACAGGATCGGGCTGCACCGGTTCGGAGTCGCAGGTCGAAGGTCGAGATCGGATCGGCCGCGCACGGATGCGCCACTGCGCTGTGCAAGCATCGAGCCGCCTCGGATGGCCCAGAAATCGATCTCGAATCGGATCGAGCCGAGCGAACTCGACATCGAGAATCGGGTCGATCGAATCGAGACGGGCCCAGAGAGGGGGCTCAGAGTAACGAAGCCCCGTCAGGACAGCCCCCGAAACGAGGGAGACGCTGGCCTCTGGACGGACTGGCCACGCACGGGAAGCCCCACCTGGGACTGCACCCCCCTCCTCCTCCTCCTCCTCCTCCTCCTCCTCCTCCTTTCTTCCCCCTCCCCCTCCTCCTCCTCCTCCTCCTCCTCCTCCTCCTCCTTTTTCTCTTCGGATGCGCCGCTGAAAGCGCGAAGTGTGCCCCGAAAACCGAAAGAACTCTCGGGTCATGACGCGGGCCTCCAGCGGCCGTCCGGGACGATCCGGGAATCCCCAGTTGCCAGGACCTCCCGACGAGGCGCAGCTGCTGGAAAGCACCCCGAAGGGGGACAACCTCCAGGAAACACCAAACTTCCCCCATCCCACTCTTGAGCGTCTCCGATCTTTCGGGAGGTCCCCCCCCAACTGGAGTCTGGAGAAGTTCACACCCCCCTCTTGGACGGCCCATACCTCTGTTGCCACCTGAGAGGTGGCCACCCCGAGGAGGAGGAGGAGGAGGAGGAGGAGGAGGAGGAGGAGGAGGAGGAGGAGGAGGAGGAGGGAGAGAGAGAGAGAGAGAGAGAGAGAGAGAGAGAGAGAGAGAGAGAGAGAGAGAGAGAGAGAACGAGAGAGAGAGAGAGAGGGAGAGGGAGATGGAGAGAGAAGCGGGGAGAAGGAGGTGAAGGGCGGCACTCCAGGGGAGGATGGGCGACGAGGGACAGGCGGGGCCTTCTGCAAGGCCTCCTGGTCGCCGCCCGTGGTGCCCATCACGAAGGGGCAGCCTGTCGATGCGAACAGCTCGGCGTTCGCCATCACCTGTGCGCGCCGCGGGCTGAGCGCCCTCCCCGCCCCTCCCTCCTCCCTCGCGGGCCGCGAGGGAGGAGGGAGTCGGCCGCGAGTCGCGGCCGCTCTCGCCCTTCTTCCCCTCCTCCTGCCGCCAGGCTACTCTGCGCCCCCCGTTGCCCGGACCGCCCGAGCTCACCGCGCGGACTGCCCCTGCCGCGCCGCGCCGCAGACAGCCGCGCGTGCCGCGGGGTCCGCCACGGCCAGGGGCACCTGGGGCAACCTGCAGCCAGGACGCCGAGGCAGGAAGCGCTGCTGGCTCGGGAGGGGCTCGGGCGTTCGGCCCGCTCCCCAGGTCCGGGTCGGAGGGGCGATTCGTGGCCGAGGCCCCCGCCGTGGCCAGAGAAGCCCCGCCACTCCTTGTGCGGCTTGACCTGTGGTGGCACGAGGACTGCCCCCCCCCCTCCCTCCCCACAGAACTAGGGGCCCGAGGGCAATCGGGCAAGCCCTGGCCTCGCGAGTTGAGTTACCCAACCGAGTCTGCAGGGCAACGAGAAGGGGGGACGGGCTCGGTGGGGGGGGATATCGAGGTTGAATCGGCGATACACCGCCGATAGATCGGCGATATGTCCTCGATAGCGACACCACACGTTCCTCGGCGGGATGAGATATCAGGCCCCCATCGGCGATTCATGGGCCCTCGGGGGTCGATGCGTCCCCCCCTGAACCTATCCTCCCCCAATGTTGCCCCGGCCGCGCGTCTGGACCGCCTTCCTCGGCTACACGCAAGAGTGACCCTAACTGGGCAAGGGTTGCCTGCGGCGCGCTGCTTCAGGGCGCCCGGCGGCCATTCGCGACGGGTCGGACATGCCCAGGACGCTCTGGGCGAGACGCAGGTGCTGGAGCGCGCCCCGAGGCAAGGCAGCCTCCACGAGCCGACGAAGACGTCCGAAGACGTCCCACACCACAAGGTCACTCTGGCGAGGGTCACTCCCTGACGCGCAGCCGACCCCTCCGCGCCACTCCGCCGGGCCACGCCGCCGCGCGCCTGCCGCCAGCCGGAGGGCCGCGCTGGCGGAGGCAGGCTGCGGCAGGGTGACCCCCTCTGCCCGGTGGCAGGAGGCACCCTCCGACGCCGACGCCTGGCCTCCGACGACTCGTGGACTTGACCGCAGGAAGTTATTAAGACCCCCCCCCCACGTTATCGTAGCACCGCACAGCAAATACACCCCAAGGGGGGACTTCAACTGAACGATGACTTTAGCACCGTGCCAAGCAGCAAAAACACAAACGAAAATCCACCTCGCCCCCGCAACCGACACCTATAAGAGGCAACACGTAGCGTTCCATATATAGAGCTCAACCCGCAGACTGCACAGGCACGCCTGGCGCGACACGCTCGCCCCAAACGTGGACCAACGCGTGCCGAGCCGATGCGCGGCGTGTCAGCACGTGCGCTCTGAACATGGTGCGTGCTGCGCCTCAACACGGGCGCAAGAGGTGCGCCCTCGACCCGCGAATCAAAAAGTGCTGCGCCTCAGCACGGGCGTATCGGGGCAGCCGAGCGCGCGGATCATTCAGCTTTCTATGCGCTCGCGGCCTTCCCCGGGTCGCCCAACCTCGCGCCCCGCGCCCCGCGATGCGCGGTTCTCTTCGCGTCCTCTCGCCAGCCCCCTGGAGAGGGGTGGCTGCTCTGGCCCAGGCCGCGATGCGCGCAGCGGGATCATCCTCGCGCCCCCGCCGGTGACCCGGAAAATGAGAAATAACGGCGTAAGCACAAACGTTTGAAGGTCAGCGCGGATTTCTTCGATCGGCGCTAGACCTCCCTCAAGGGGGCGCAGCGCAGATCCGACAGATCCTTGTTGTGTGTGTGTGTGCTTATGTCTTTGTTTCTTCCTCGAGCCTCATGGTTCCCCGAGCTTCTTGGTCTAGCGGGGGGAAGGGTCCAAACACCAACCCAGGTGAGCCATCGACTTCCCTGGCGATGTGTGTGTGTGTGTGTGTGTCGAGAAGAAGAAAAACGTGCATTTCCCCGCGGGGCGCGCAGCCCGGACGGTGTGGGGGGGGGGCTCCCCCGAGAAGTGGCTGAAGCCCGGCTGGGGGGCGCATCTCCAGTCACCCCCCGCATCTCGAATGTCCTCCTGTCGTCGTCGTCGTCGTCGTCGTCGTCGTCGTCGTCGTCGTCGTCGTTGGCGGCGGTTGCCGCGGACGGGTGCGTGCAGTCCACGGCGACGAGGCGATCACCGTACTTGCGTAGGGCCTGGGACAGCACGGGCGCACCCTTCCCCTTCCCCTTCCCGTCCTCCTCCTCTTCCTCCTCCTCCTACTCCCCTTCCCCCCCCTCCTCCTCCTCCTCCTCCTCCTCCTCGCCCTCCTCCTTTCCCATCATCCTCCTCCTCCTCCGCCTCCTCCTCCTCCTCGTCCTCCTCCTCCTCCTCGTCCTCCTCCTCCTCCTCCTCATCCTCCCCCTCGTCCTCCTCCTCCTCCCCCTCCTCCTACTCCTGCTACTCTTCCTACTCCCCCCTACCCCTCTTCCTTCTCCTCCTCTCACCGAGGAACAATCCGAAACCAACCTACCCTGAGCCCGCAACCCGCAATGGCCCTCACTTCAGCGTCTTGACCGCCGCGCGGATTCCGTGGATCGGCGCTGGCTGTCCGGCGGAGCGCGCCAGGGGCGGCGTCGGAGGCACCGCCAGGAGGGCCCATCGCACATCCAAGAGATTCGCGCGGACCTCGTAAAGCTTATGTTCATGCCGATCATTCTTCTTCGATCCGAAGCAGACGGGTTCTGACAGAAACGGGCCCTGAACCCCAGGATCAGCGCTTCGTCATGAGTCGTTTCGACGGTCCAAGGGGGAGGGACACCAGAGCCCGAAAGCGGAGACAAACCGAATCGATCCCCCTTCCTCCAAACCAAAACAGATACCGGCACCGCTACTCAGTGGGTCCGTGGACGTCTCACGGGGCGAATCCGGCCGTCGCGACCATGGAGGGGCAACGGCATCGGTATCTCACGGTCTACCCGCTCGCAAGGCATAGCGTGTCGCGGCGGCGGTCCTAACGACACGCTTTGCCCTGCGAGCGGGTAGCGTGTCGCTCCGCTCCGCGTGGCGGTAGGCTGGGAACGACTCGGGGTGTCAACGCGTAAGGACTGTAAGCTGGATAGCGTGTCGCGCCGAAGCGTGGTTGGCCAGAACTGGCGGAGCGACACGTGGGGAGGAGGAGGAGGAGGGCGGAGGAGGAGGAGAGAGGAGGAGGAGGACGAGGAGGAGGATGAGGAGGACGAGGAGGAGGAGGAGGTGGAGAAGGAGGAGGAAGAGGAGGAGGATGAGGAGGAGGGGGACGAGGAGGAGGAGAGGGAGCAGCAGGGGGGAGGAGGGAGCAGGAGGAGGACGGTAAAGGAGGAGGATGAGGATGAGGATGAGGATGAGGATGAGGAGGAGGAGGAGGAGGAGGAGGAGGAAGAAGAAGACGACGGAGAATGAGGAGCAAGAGGAGGAGAAGGGAAGGATGAGGAGGACCGATGTGAACGCTCCCGCCCTCCTTCCCCTCCCTGCCGTCGCGGGGCCTCCTCCACGGCCGCCCGCTGCGCCAGCGGGTCGTTGGAGCTGACCAGGCTGATCGTGACGCCGGCCGGGCCATTGGACGTCCCTTCCGTCGTGACGCATGGCACCTTGCCCGAGCCGCTGCATCGCGGCGGGGGCAGGGGCCTCCTCCGCCTTCCGCCCTGCGCCTCTGCCTCAGCCCTCCACCCGACTCCCTCCTCCTCCCCCCTCCTCCTCCTCCTCCTCCTCCTCTTCTTTCGCCCCACTTTTCATCCTCCTCCCTCCGTGCCATCCTCCTCCTTCCCTGCCTCACTCCCTCACTCCCTCCCTCCCTCATGCTCATCCGCATCCTCATCGTCATCCTCATCGACAACGTACTCCTCCCCATCTTACTACTTAGGCCTCTGCCGCGCTGCGGCGTAACAACTGTTCCAGCCACTTCAACAAAATGACGAAGGACGATCGGACTCTTGCAAGCAAGCCGTGGCAAGATCGGCTACAAGTCGAAGCCTCAAGAAATAAGTCAGAACGAAGCGGCTGGAATAATGGTACGCGCCAGCCATTTCAAAGACGCCTGCTTCTTCCCCAACCCGCACACGTCACAACACCTAGCGTCGTGCTGGACGCGATCATCGCAACCAAGCAAGCTGCGATAAGTAGTCCATGCCAGCAGCGCGTTGATTCTTAGTCTAGACAGAGCGCGCGCACGACTGACAACGTGAAAAGCGGAAACCTCGGATACCTCCGCGCCGATGCCATAAGGGCACCGATGCCATAAGGACAGAAACTTCGATGGCTGAGACTGAACACAATCAGACCTGCCATGGACAATGGCGTCACATGGCAGATTGACGCTCAAAACTATGGACGACTGACGATCATGAGCTATACGCTAATGCCAGGTGCCAAGCAATAACAACACATATGATGCTTGAATTGCTCAGCCCGCAAGAGGGTCCGTTCACACTCTGGCCCACTTTGGCATGCTTGTATGAACGGGGCGCGGTCTCACAAGCCCAGCTTTTTTTTCACGATACGGTGTCGAATGTGTGCACGTCTTGTGTCTTCCCGCGGTCTATACACGTCGTTCATTTCTAATCGTGCTCATTTCTAATTGTGCTCGTTTCTAATTGTTCCTGGCCCCCTAGTGGCCAGGAAGAGGCCAGCCCAGGGGACAACAATCGCTGAGCACAGTTTGAGCAGTTTATACGCGTTAAGTATCGCATGATTTTGGCCTCAGGGGCGCCCAAGACGGCCCAACATGCCCCTGATATCATTCCACTGCGGTCTCCAAGAGGAGCTCAAGAGGCTCCAAATATTGCTGCTCTGATACGAACCCCCAAACGAAACCATAATCAAATAAACTTGGATGTGGAGACCTCCACCCTCCTCCACCTCCTCCTCCTCCTCGTCCTCCTCCTCCTCCTCCTCCTTGTCTTCCTCCTCCTCCTCTTTGTCTTCCTCCTCCTCCTCGTGCTTCTCCTCCTCTTCCTCCTCCTCGTCCTCGGCCCCTCGCCGCGCCGCCTCCTGGAACCCTTGAGCCCCGGCGAGAACCGAACCGGGTCGGGACCGAAGTTGGCGCAGATCGCCGCGGGCCCCGCCACTGCGGGGCCCCGACGGGCGGGCGGCCGGCCCACGCGCGCGCGCGCGCCTCGTAACGGGGCAGGGCCTTCGGCCCGGTGAGCCCGACGGGCGACAGCTCCCAGCCCTTGCTCGGGGTGGGGGCGCGGAGGGCCCGTCGGAGGAGGAGAAGGAGACGGAGGAGGAGGGGGAGGAGGAGGGGGAGGAGGAGGAGGAGGAGGAGGAGGAGGAGGAGGAGGAGGAGGAGGAGGAGGAGGAGGACGAAGAGAAACTTCACCGCCCGTAGAGGGAGAGTCAAAAAGAGAGAAGAACATTGGGGTGGGGGCCCATCACAGGAGAACTTTTTGTTCCCGCCCGAGGCTGCGACCCACCTCGGCGAGGCTGCGACCCACCTCGGCGAGGCTGCGACCCACCTCGGACGGGGCCAGCCGACAGGGCCACCCACCCCCCAGAAACGTAGACTTCAGCCTCTGGGTCTGCGGCACCCGCCTCCCTGGCGTGGGCTGAAGCTCGGTCCAGGAGCACCTGTCGACCGAGCTCTCTTCCGCTCCAGCCCTGGAGCTGAAACCACAAACGAGCAACACATAATCGATGCCAGGGCGCGGTGCCACGGCTTGCTTCGAAAAAGGGACGACCCTCGGCGCCTGGAGAAACGGCCCCTGGTCTCCTCCGACGGGGCCTCCGAAGGCCCGATCGCCACGAGAGGATGAACAAAAACAGGGTGAAAGCCTTCTTTTAGTCCTTTCCTGGCAGTGTACGCTGACCCCCCCGAGATCCTCTTGGGCCCCTTGAAAGTTCCAGTGAGACCTCGCTGCGTCGGGGTGGTCGCATACTGCCAGCAAGACGGGCAATCTATTATCGGCGAGTCATTCGGCACAGAGCTCTGAACCACCACGTGGCCGTTGACCCGCCATGGCTGGACACCTTTGCCCTGAAACCACTTGGGGTCCCCTGAGGCGGGCCCGGGAGGATCCCCAGCAGCAGCGCCAGCAGGAGGCTCAGGAGGAGGGAAGACTGAATCACTGGACTCCGCCTCAGGAACATCAGGAACATCTAAACCGTGGTAGATAAACAAACCCAAGTCGATCCTCTTGAGGTATTCAACCCCCGCATTGTCCCGAAATTCAGCCATGCCATCGAGGCCGACAGCTGGGCAGAGAACTTGGCCGCTAGTTTCGCAATCAGCTGGCACCCCATCGACTAGCTCGACATCAGCGATGGCAGATGGAGCCCGCGCCGCTCCTTTTCTAGCAAAGCTGTCGGCAACATTGTTGCCGTCTCGGTCGAACGCGGAGATCAGATGGCGCTCAACGCTCACGGCCGACGCGTGGGCCTTGACATGCTCGAAGGGCCGAGCGCAGAAATCTTCGCGCACGTGCGCCTGCCTCCACAGGTGGGCTCGCGGGTTGCACGAAGAAGTTGGCATGGCAGGAGACTGGCGGGATCTCAGTGCACTCTTACACTCGGCCCGCGCCGAGTACATGCCCAGGACCTTTTGGGAGCACATCAGAATAGCAAACGCTTCGCCGTCTCGGGCCGAGCCCGAGATCCCGAACTCTGGTGGCACAGCCCCGAACAAGGCGCCAACGTAGCGCCGCTGGCTGTCGCGCAGCACCGCGCTCCAACCCGCGACGCGCAGGGGCGGGTGGTGCAGGTCCAGCCCTGAGCCGCCCGCGAAAGCATATCCTCCTTCGGGGAGGAAAGGCAGCTGGAAAGATCCTGGGGCCCAGAGACTCCAGCTCGGGTCGAAAGAAATCCTAGAGACGCACCGACCAGACTCAGGAAACAAACCTCTCGCAAACCTTTCCTTCCAAGCTGGGGGGCTATCTGTAATCCTGGCAACAGACCAAGACAGCTAGGTGGGCATGCAATCCCGTCTGAACTGCTCGTGGGCGGGGCATGCGTAGCATCGACGAAACATAGTCCCTCTAGCTTCTTGACGTAAGTGGCAAACGTCTGGGGGGTCGGCTCATGATCGCGGAGCCCCCCTTGCGCCCAGTGGGGCCCCGAGACCAGACCCCGAAGCGAATTTTGCTCGCGGCGGCGCCGGATGTCCGACAAGTCGGGAAACATGAGCTCCAGGAGCGGCCTCCTGCACAAATCCGATGCCCAAGCATCGTCCTGAAGTATGATGGCCCTTGCGTCCGAGGCTCGTCGGGCCGCGAGCGAGATCTGAGCAGCGATGCAAGCGGGCGAATAAAACCGAAGGTCCCAGTCCACCGCCAGATCATCCACCGCCGCCACCGCATCCTTATTGCGCCAGCTTGCCCGCTGGGCCGCGATGGCCACCGCCCCCGCAGGGTCTCTGCAGGTCACCCATGGCCTGCGGCAGCATTCTGGTTGGCAGCAATGACTAGAGCCTCCAGGACAGCTCTCGAACATTGGCCTTCGCATGAAACTCCACAATCTTGGCGCATCGAGTCGGCCGTTGTTAAGATCAGAGGGTCTCGCCTCCAACCTTGACGCCCGCAGCCCAGGTGCATCCCCGCTGAAACCACCCGAGGAAATCTGCCTTCCGCGTGAGCCGCCAGCGCCCTGAGGCCGTGGAGCCTGGTGCCACCTAGGCCATGGGCGCACGTGCCCCGCGTAGCAACCGCAGTGGGACCTGACCGATGCACGCGAAAAGTTGTGGCACCTGCTCCCTGTGGAGTGCGCTGTTTGGTCGCGCGCCTCTTGGCAGAGAGACACCCGTCGAGGTGAATCGAAATCATTCGAAACCACCCGTCCGCAGCACCCCCCCCATGTCTGTGTGCGCCTCTTCCCTGCTGTCGGCCAACTCGGGGGGCAGCTCTTCTGCCGTGCGCCCAGCGAGCGAGTTAGAGTGAGCCAGCGCACCTGCCTTGTGCCGCGAAATGGGGGGGCCCTTGGCCCTCGCCTCTGCAGCCGCAGCACTGAAAACCCGACCTGCTTGCCTCGACGCTGTCGCCTCGCCACCGACTGCGTGGAAGGGCGCATCGCCAATGACATTCTTAATCGTGACGATCGGGGCCTCGAGGCGGGCTCTCTCGAGACAGACCGGCAACGTCACCTTGGCCAAGGTCGTCGCACAAGAGCAGCCTGCCACCATTGCGCCGTTGGAATCCAGAAGTTTGCCCGTGACCCCTTGGAGACGCCAGGCGCCTGGGCCTGGCATGCGCTGAAAGAGCGCTGTGGAGCCGCGCTCTCTTTTCGCGCGAGGTGGCCCCGGACTGGCCCAAACAGGTCCGACACATGTCCCCTCTCCCGAGCGCTGCAAGTCCTTTCGGCCTTTCGACCGCGCTCGGGCCAGGAGCGGAAGCAATCCGATCGGTCTTACGTCTCCTTGGCTTGTCGAGGAACGCGAACGAAATCGCCCAGAGCGCCGAGACTCTGGGATCGCGCTCCCACGCATTGAAGACATCTGCAAATATCTGCACTACCTCGGGGGGCATCGGGGGCAGCAGCCGCGGGTGGAAACCGTCCCAACCCAAGGCCGTGCCCTCGGCAAAGCACTTGCACGCCGATCGGATGTCATCAGCCCTAGAAAACGCAAAGCCTGCCAAAAGCGTGGATGGGCCCTGGACTCCTCGCTCCAAATCGGGACCCACTCCTCGGGGAGCTTCTCGAGAGCCACGTGGCCCGCCAGAGGGGCGCCCCCCTCCTCGACGGGCCCCAGGATGGGCTCTGGGGTGGGCTTGTGGCCTTTGCTGAAACGATGGGCTATGCGGCCTCCCTTCAACGCAGACGACCGGGCAACATCCTGCCACGCCTGTCGCGACTTTGCTGCGTCACTGGCAAGCCTGGCGCCTACCTCCTTGGCTACGTCGGCCAGGGGGCCTAGGCGCTTGTCTGGGTCCTGGAGGCCTTGCAGCACTGAGCGGCCCGAGTGGCCTCTCTGCGTCTCCGATTCAGAAGGGGCAAGACAGGGGCTGACCTGATCGAGCACTCCCAAGAGCCCCCCCCAAGTCACACCCGTCCGCCCCCCCCTTCCTATTGGTCAGCCCCAACAGCTGCGTCAAAGTGCGTCGCAACTGCAACCGCTTGGCCGTGCCTGCCGTCGGGCGTCGCGTGAGCTCTCTGCCCCGCGCAGCTCGAAGTGGCATCGCTTGAAACTGACAGCCCTTGGCCCTGCCCGAATGCTTGGCCCCTTCGCCAGGTGGGATCTTGCGCGAGCCTAAAAGGTAAAACTCGGCCGTTTTACATCATTCCCGGGCCGCCCCCAGAGGCCTCGGGGGAAGGGGGTCCGCCTCCCAAGACCAAGCGCGCCCAATGGGGTCGGGCACTGGGGCTGCGCCTCCATCCGGGTCGGAAGGCCTGTCGAGCGGGGGCCCGCTGGGCACGACGCGCTGCCGAGCCTTCGCTGGGCCCACGAGGCCTCTGTGCCCCGGGGGGGGCCCAGCATGAGGGCCTCGGGGCGCGTCTACGAGGGCCTGGACCTTTGTCGCGCGCGGGAGAGGGCGTTGCGAGAAATCAAGTAATCGAGGACGCTGCTATTGTAAGTGTCACCCTCAAGCGCAACCGCTTGGAGATGCAAAAAGCCCGGCCAATCGGACGCCGCCAGCTCGTTCGCGGGAATGTCCCAGTCGAGGCCGACGATCACAGGGGTCACTCCACCGACGCAACGAACTCGCTTAGAATGGACGGGAAGTCATGGTTCCTCAGGCCCAGCCCTTCGTTGGTCACCAGGTGCGCCGAGACAGACGCAGTCTGGGCGTAGGTCGTGATCGAGACCAACTGCGCCACCAGCCTGCGTCGCACCCTCTCGGGGAACGCGAGCGCGAGGCGCCTCGCCCCCGCCGGCGCGCGGGGCAGCGCGGCAACCCCGCCCGAGTGCTCCAGCGCTCCATCTCCAGTGGCCGTCGCAGCGCCTGCATGCGTAGCGGGGCCTGCCTTGCCCGCCCACGATGTAGGCGACGCCGCTCTGCTGTGCTACGAGCGCGTCTCCAGCAGAAAGTTGCGATGGGCCTCCTGGCCCTTGTCGTGTTCGTCCATTCCGAAGAAAAGCGTGACCCGTAGTCCAGGCATCGCACTTGTACGTCACTAGCTGAAGCGTGTCGTCCAGCTCTGTCAGAGTATGCTGCGTCTTGTCGGCGGCAGCAGCTGGGGGGGCAGCCATGGGGTGCTCGCCGAGCTCCTTCCCTACCCCCCCCCGCGGCAGACGGATCCCGC